GGGCTCTGTGCTGGCAGCCAGCGGTTTTCATCTGGTGGGGGTCTGCTTCCTATAAAAAAAACTAAGGAATCTGTTTTAGACCTTTATTTACATCTTTCAGGGAAATGAGATTTCAATGACTCTGCTATGTGGCCGATTTATAGTCCAAATGGTCACCAGTTTCCTAGCCTAACAGCTGTTCTGTGTTTCTACAGCTTCACATTTCCTAACTATTAACTCTTTAATCAGCCTTTTGAGACTCTAGGGAGGCCTGGGACACTTAGGGAAAAGCCTTTTATTTCAAAGCACAGGGACACAGGAGTTTATATATGGTTTCAGGTTCCCCCTTTTCTTTGATACTTCTTAATCTTGAGGAGAGCAAGTAATTCGTCTGTTGGACCTTGGATAAGTAAATTGAAACCCTTCTGGAAAAGATTTACCATTCTAGATGCATTAAGAACATTTGTGATTCATGAGAAGAAGTCAAAATATCATTCACAGAAACCTGAAAATTGATTCCAACCCTCATGGATTACACTGAGCAGCTCAAAATTTCAGTGGAGGAAGTAAATGCAGAGAGGTGGTAGAAATAGCAGGAGAAGTAACATCAGAAGTAAAGCCTGAAGATGCGACTGCATTGCTGAAATCTCAGAATGGAACTTGAATGGATGAGGAGTTGCTTCTCACGGATGAGCAAAGAGAGTGGTTTCTCCAGATGGAATGTGCTCCTGGTGAAGACACGTTGAAGACTGTCGAAGTCACAATAAAGGATTTAAAATATTACGTGGACTTAGTTGATAACTCAGTGGCAGGTTTTGAGGGACTGACTGCAATTTTGAAAGAAATTCTGCTGTGTTTAAAATGTTACCAAACAGCAGAAGTCATTAATGAACCAAAGAGTCAATCCGTGCAGCAACCTTCATTGTTTTCTTATTGTAAGGAATTGCTGCAGCCATCCTAACCTTCAGCAAACACTACACTTAGCATCAGGCAGCCAGCAGCATCAAGGCATGGCCCTCCACCAGCAAAAAGATTAGGATTTGCTGAAGGCTCAGAAGATGATTAGCGTTTTTCAGCAACCAAATCTGTTTTAAATAAGGGGTGTATGTTGCTTTTTTTTAGACATAATTCTATTGCACACTTAGTAGACTATAGTGTAGTGTAAACATAACTTTTATTTGCAGTGGGAAATAAAAGAAGATGTGTTACTTGCTGTATGCTGAATTTGTTTCATTGTGGTGATCTGGAACCAAACCCACAATATCTGAGAGGCAAGCCTGAATTGAGAAATGAATTCAAGTGTCCTCAGTTAAAATTAGGCTTCAGATAGATCTGTAAGGGAAGCTCTCAAGCTTCACCAAGCATCATCCATTACACCAAACAGAAAGAGACATAAACCTACATCTCTGATAGGAAACTGTTGCCTCTGGTCAATGCAGCAGGAAGAATAAATGCTCTCCATCCAACAATTGCTCAATCAACCAGAGACTGCAGGAGCCCAACCAATGAGAAACCTGCATACTTTGAACTTTTGGCTTCTTCCAGTGGATTCTGGTTATCACAGCACTTCCAGTTTCCCCTTTTCCCTATAAAAGCAGGTTTAACTCCCTTGTTCTCTGAATTTGCCTGTGGTCCACCACAGTTTGCATATCTTGAATTGCAATCCATCTGGCTATTCCTGAATAAACTCACATTTGCTGGTAAAATAACTGGCTATTATATTAGTAAAGTCAACACTAGATATATTTTTTAGAAAGATGTTGACATATAGACTT